ATAATTCTGTTTATCAAAATATTGTTTATAAGCCTATTTAACAAATAATCTATTATTTACATATCAGACATGCTTCGATTCAGATCCATATATTTTCTCGCTAAAATAATCCGTAATTCTGTACTTTTTAAATGCAAAACGGAAATCGTACTTACGTAGACTATTACCTATCCAAATTATAATTATGTTTATGATACATAAAATCTTGCCAAATGTAGTGGACAAATTCAGATAAATGACATTTAATGTGTTAACATTTATAGATTCCTATTCTAAACGAATGTATTCTAAGTGGCATTTTCCAGAGAAAGGGATGAAGAGGAGAAATAAGGAAGAAAACGGAGGGGGAAAGAGAAGAAAGGGTCCCGGGGATTAGACAGCAGAAAAACAGAGAGAGGAAATCTGATGAAAAAAAGGGGGGATGATAATGGCATATTAAATTATTACATATGACCGTCAGTTTTACGTCACTTCATTTTAATGCTCCATTTTTGATATGTGTTAGTGTGAGAAGAGAAGAAAGGACAAAAGTAAGCCTTGACCCAACCGTACTTATGCTTAATTTAACAGAAGTTAATGAAACCTGACTCTTCCACCTATATTAATCTTTGCTATTCCACGCTGGCCGAACCAGGAATTACCTATAGGCAGCCACATTTGGTTTACAGTTGTTAAAGGCTTTACATTTGATGCAGAGATAAGGTAGTTGAAGAGATGCTTTAGGGGACTTGAGTAATACTTGAGACATTGACGTAAAAGTTTTAATGAAGAAGATAAATAGTATAAGGATTCTACGTACATATGTGTTCCTTCACTGTGACTAAATATATAAGTTTGAAAAAATGCGTTAAATATTTGTTTACTTATACTTAAAATATGTACTAAAAATTTCCTCAGTTTCTTCACATGTATTGAAATCATTCGGCTGACAGTATTAATTTTTCAGGATTGAGACTAGGAAATTACTAAAAGCATAAGTTGTAGTAGCAGTAATATTGATAAACATATGAACAGCTCAATTAACGGTATTATTGGAAATTTGGGCAGTAGTGGTGATGGAAATTTGACTGTTCAGATGCCAGGGAATAGTGGACACCAACAACAACAGCAGCAACAACAGCAACAATCTGTAAATTGTTGCTTTTGTTTTTGAGTCTATTAGTTCAGCTGGATTTGTTCGTAATGTGCCATCTTTTTTTCTTTCTTTTACATTTAATTAAAAATTTAAACAAAGTGGTTTTATCGTTAACACTCTAAATATCTTCCGTAAAGTTTGTAACAGTGTAATAATTCTTTGTTTTTCAAATCATACTCCTTGAACAACATTTGAAATGTTCGAACTTAAATCCTTCCTTAAAAGTTTGCTTGTGGTGATGCTTGAAGTGTAATACCTTTCAGGATATTTGAAAATCGACATTTCATTGTCTTTAGAAACACTTTAAGACACTTATTCTGATAGAAACACTTTAAGACATTTATTTTTTGTTTTTTACTGCTGTGTTTTTATATGTTGCATAATTTATAAATGCAAGAAATGATGGTAGTTGTTACAGAAAATCGAAAGTGCTCAAGGAGATGGTAATAGCAGAGCAATCTATGATAGTCAGAAAACAAGTACACCTAATGGCACTAGTACGACGAATATGCCGTCTGCTGCGGTAATTTCATCAAAGGAATAAGTGAAAATGCCACTTAGCAACTTTGCAGTCATTTTTTGTTCTCTTTGTTTTATATCGCTTTATAGGTTCCAAATTATGACATTAAATATATATTGTCTGGTCATACGAAAGCCGTGTCGTCTGTCAAATTCAGCGCTGATGGTTCATTGTTAGCTAGCTCTAGTGCTGATAAGACAATCAAAGTGTGGAATACTCAGGATGGTAAAATTGAAAAAACGATTACCGGTCATAAACTTGGGATCTCGGATATTTGTTGGTCCTCGGACCATCGACTGATAACATCTTGTTCAGATGATAAAACGTTGAAGATATGGGACGTTATGAGCGTATGTTTGTTCCTTTTTATTTTTTTTTGTTAAGGGTTACATTTACGGATAATCTACTCAATTTTTTGGCACTACTAATAGACCATTTTTATATTTGAAAATGCATTAATATTTAACTTATGTTGGGTGATTTTTTTTAAGTTGCAGAACTAATAAAATAGGAATGAAAAATATTTTTTGTGGACACATCTACTAAATTTTCATTTCCACTTCTTAATTTGACCTTTATCGCAAAGAGTATGATTGTAATGGGACATTGCAGAGTAAATGTTTGAAAACATTGAAAGGTCACACTAATTATGTTTTCTGCTGCAATTTCAATCCTCAGTCATCTTTGGTCGTGTCAGGCTCCTTCGATGAAAGTGTTCGAGTTTGGGATGTAAAAACAGGCTCGTGCATTAAAACTCTTCCTGCACATTCCGATCCAGTTTCTGCAGTTTCTTTCAATCGGTAAGCGTTGTGATATGTTGCTCAACACTAGTTTAAAGCAGAAACATGCAGTACATCACATATAATGGAGCATATTTAGGTTTTTTTTAAGCTACAAAAGATGTAGACAAGTCGATATTGTTTCCTTGTGATCTTTTATTTTAGCAGTCGCTTGGCTTTTGTGTGTTTATTAATTGTACCTGTTTATTTACTGATAAATATTCACTAAAAAAAGGATCCATAAATATTCGGTATGATGTTTTAAGCAAATGATTTCAGCATTTAATAGATAGCTAAAAATTATGTTATTTACCTTTAGAGATGGAACACTGATTTGTTCAAGTAGCTATGATGGGCTTGTTCGAATTTGGGATACTGCAAATGGACAGTGTGTCAAAACTCTTGTTGGTAAAATTTGATACTGTTACTGTCTTCAGAGTATAGAATGATTCTTTATTCTAAAATATTTCATGATGCGGATTGGAAGTTAATATTAGAGGAAAAGATAACGATCAAGTTTATCCAAACCTTATTTTTATCGCTGATGTATATATTGATGTTATTTTTTGCATAATACTTATTAGTATCAACATATTGCAGATGATGATAATCCTCCAGTTTCCTTCGTGAAATTTTCGCCAAACGGCAAATATATATTAGCAGCTACTTTAGACAGGTTGAGTGATATTTGTCTTTACAGATAATGCATCTACAAAAGTAGCGTTTGAAAAATTCTGATGGTCATGTGTCTTTTCCACCGATTATTCCGATAGAGTTCTTTTCGCTTTCGTTTTACGTTTGAAAAACTTTACATAGTTGTAGAAATACTTGTATGTAGGATATTTTCCCGAAAGGCGTGCAGTATGCATAGTCATTCGTTTGGTGTGAGTTACAGATCGTAGTTTTCTCATGCCAACTGAAGCAACTTATCATTTTAAATGTGTATGAATTGTGATTTCATTTTTAATTTGTTGCTATTTGACGGAATATAAAAAGGAAATTTCTATTCAGCACACTGAAACTTTGGGATTTCAACAAAGGCAAATGCTTGAAAACTTATACTGGACATAAAAATGAAAAATACTGTATCTTCGCGAATTTTTCTGTCACTGGTGGCAAGGTAATTTAGTTTCATTATTTCGGGTTCGGCTTACAATTGCTTGGTTTGTTGTGTGTGTTATAAATTTTGGGTTGAAATTTCTGTTGATATAAGAAGGTTGCACAGTATGTTATCAACTTTCTGAAGAATTACTGGCAATATAAATTAGTTTTCAGTGGATAGTCAGTGGTTCGGAGGATAATCGTGTCTACATATGGAATTTACAGTCCAAAGAGATTGTACAAACACTTGAGGGCCATACAGGTAAGCATTCGTTTAACGAGATCTGATTTCCAATTTTATTATCTCAGATTAATGTTTTGAGGTTTTCACGAAATTTTTTGTTTATATGGCATATTCTTTTGCGTTTTATAAATGTTATATCCTTGAAAACAAAATACCTTAACCGATATCTAGTTTTTTGTGTATCAGTATCTGCTTTAAAATTTACAGTAGTACCGAATTATGAATGCTTAGTAAAAACAATAGAGGAACGATGATTTTTATTTTTATATACGTTAACAAAAAATAAAATTTTTTATAGACGTGGTACTGTGCACTGATTGTCATCCAACGCAAAATGTCATTGCATCAGCAGCGCTCGAAAACGACCGTACAATTCGCTTGTGGAAATCTGATTTTTAATTTCTTATATATATCTGAGAATAAATGATGCCGTTAGCTATGACAATATTTTAGATAAGGATTGTCTTGATGTTAATTGTCTTGATGTTATCTCAGTGAATTTTCGAAGTCTTGAAATAAGTTTCAGAAAGTTATCTGGATAAGCTCTTATTGATTTTTAATGTATAGTTTATTTGTGCATCTTGCGTGTGTTGAGTATGTCATTATTGTAGGTGCCTACCTCCACTCTAGGTACTAAAAGTATTTCTGAAGGAAATAAAAAAATATCTCAGGATAGATTTTGCGATTTTCAGGTGTGAGAACCAATCATCTCGGATTACTTTGCATTGTGAATTTAGTATCAATGTTTTGTCAAATATTCTTATCCATCTCTTTGTATTTTTTCATATTTATTTTCGACGAAATTAGTGTTATTCGTCAAGAAAATAATTGTTTTTCAACAGCATATTTCTCAATTTATTTTTGATACTCATCATGTTTGACATTTTTACACAGGTAACGATAAAAAAATCGCTTATCGTTCTATTAAAATTTTTGATGTAATTATTGAGATCAGTTGAGTATGATTAGGTGAAAACTGCACCAATGACAAAAATCTTACTTAACATCAAAGTTCTCAGAAATGATTTCATGTTGCTATCGCAAAGGGGAACTCATACAAATTAGCCCTTTGAGTTTATCATTTTTCATTCGTAATTATGTGGGGTGTTCGGTAGCAACAAAATCATTTATGTGAATTTTGATGTTAAATGAATGAATAACGATAAAATAGAATTTATCAAATTTTAACGATAACGGAAAAGACGAGATACGGTATAAATTTCATTTTTTGTCAGGATCTAGGACTTCTAAGGTATTTTCTCCTGCTAAACCGGTTGTTTCACTTCCACCAATAGATTCTTCCGATTCTACAGATTCATCCACCAAACGGCCCGTGTTCGTATCTCCTGTCTGCAATAACCTTTCATTATAACATGTTTCCTACAGTTAATAGACTTCCTAAGAATAATTGCATTAAGGGATTCGAGTGAGATATGAATGCTTTTTGGGATTTTGGATTGTTGGCTAAATTAATTTTTCATTTAAGGTTTTCACACATTTATTATTATTATTATTATTATTATTATTATTATTATTATTATTATTATTATTATTATTATTATTATTATTATTATTATTATTATTATTATTAATTATATTATTATTATTATTATTATTATTATTATTTTATTATTATTATTATTACTATTATTATTATTATTATTATTATTATTATTATTATTATTATTATTATTATTATTATTATTATTATTATTGTTAAGCATTATTATTATTGTAATGAAATCTTCGTCTAAGTAAAAGAACTAAGTAAGAAATAAAGTTGGATTCTAGCTGATTAAAAAAACAAAAAAAAAGTAATATTAAGGCATTTTACCTTATCAATTTCAACCTTAACATCCTTTTCATTTTCATGAGCAACACTGGCTTCTTGTTTCAAGAGACCTTTTTCATTCCATTCAAATGGATCTGATCTGTTAATAAGAATGGATATCACTGTTAACTAATCAAGTTTACGAATTGTTATTCATTCTCTGTCACTTTTAATTTTCAAATTTACCTAATTTTCATATATAAATTATTTCATTCATTTCTCTTCAATTCCCACATTAGATTTCAATTTAAATTTTCAGATTAAATAAAATTTCAGACAAAACTTTTATTCTAATAATAATTGCAAGGAAATAAATGATCCAAAGGATGAGGATTTCTATTCATTGAAAACACTAATTGATTATGCATTTGTAAGGGAAGAAACTGAAAACGTTACGGTTTGATTTTTAATTTATTAAGTTCTTTTGTGAATTTTGACTGAAACATTGCATAATTTGGTGTGTCAATGTAAGTGAGACTTTTGAGATGATTGTTTATATCAGCAAAGCAATCCGGACATCCCTGAAAGTTCTTTTTTTCTTTTTGAATTGCCAATTCATAATTAATTCTCGAGTTGTCGAAAAATTAACCCATAAAATTATTGATTTAGATTATTAGTGATAATCAATGAAACAGAAAATGAAGATGTTTTTTCTGAGTGCAATTTAAATTTTTTTATTATCAATTTTTAATTAAATTTGAGATCGATTATCCATAGCAAATTTATAAATTTGTCAATTCAAATTATTGATAAATGAATGAATAAATGAAACACTTGCAGCTAGTAATACACGATCAGAAACTGTTTGCTTGATATGAGCACTGTCTTTTCGTGCCATACCTTTCCATGGTAATGTCGATGATAATAATTCAATTAGCATATAGAACATACCTGTTGCAATAATGATACTTGTTTCTCGTTAGTTTTTCAATAACTTGTAATCATTTTGGAGATTTATAAATTTAAAGAAAAAAAGACACTAATTTGCACTGTAAACAGACAATTTTATATTTCATTGTTACATTTCACTTAAGTTAGAAAATTACATTTCAAAATTACAACTTAAAATAAGTATTTTAGAAAAAAAATCAAATTATAAAATTTAAATTATATTTTGCTTTATTTTAAATGTATTTTTTTTTTCGCCTTTTGAATAAAATGTTGAAAAATGTTGCTAAGAGCATCATATAAAACAATTTTCACTGTTTGCTAAATATTTCATTGTTTTATTTAAATGAATAATTTATTGTTTTATTTAAATGATATTTTTCAGGAATGAAAAAAATATTAGTCATTGTATTCTGTTTCATTTTAAATGTAATCTTTCTATTTAAAAAAAAAATTTTAAATGTTATCTTACTCCATAGATCATCATGTCTTCCTTGTTCTCTATACAAATGTACATTTAATGAACAATAACGCACTGTACCACGAAATGCTACCTAAAATTGATAAATTTTGAAATATAATTTACTCAATTAATTAATTTTTACATAATCAAATTCTTTCTAAATAAGGCAAACAATTCCGCAGAATCATTTTCAAATTTAGTGAAATGCAACAAATTTTAAGCGATTTAAAAATGATATTTTAATTTGTTACACTAGAAAAATAAACATTATTAGTTGTTGCAATATTATATGCAGAAGTTTTCATGTGCAATAAAGTTTTCTGCTTTTTTTGTTTTTAGTTATATTTGATTTTATACATTTAAGTATACCTTCCTGATAATCTTCTCGGTTGTTCTGAAATCATTAAATGATTTTTTTCTCCTTTTTATTATTGAACTCCTGCGGAATGTGTTTGAAACTTTTAAAAGTATTTGCAACTTTGTCAAGTTTTCAAAATTTTGCTAAATTTTTTGCAAAAAATTTTTGCTGATTACTTAAAAACTTGCTTCTATTAAATTAGTCTTCCAGAAATTAACCAAGCAATTCCAACATAACCGATAGAAACATCTTTAAAATAATTTTACCCTGACCCAAAAGCGATGCAATTTTAATTGTTTCTTGTTTAATTTGTAATATTTCAACTTGAAGTATTAAATCATCTGACAAACTTGAAATTAATTGAGCTACTTCGCGATTTACTTCAATATCTTGAATTAATTTTTATTAATATTATTTATAAACATGAATTGCTTCTAGTACTGATTTTTCTTTTTCTTTTTTTTACATTCATATTTTTAACTAAAAAGGAAAAAAGAAATATTAAAAAGAATTTTTTAAACCTTTTTCCTAGCTTCACGAAGCTTAAGTTTTCCATCTTTATCAGGAAACATAATTTGTCGTGCTAGGCCAAAATCAAACATAAATACAATATTAGCCTTCTCATCTCGACCCATTGCAAAATTGCTTGGTTTAATATCACGATGTACAAAGCCAACTTTATGTAAATCATGTATTGCCTGTATTTCATTTATTTTGTCCTTAATCATTTCCACTCATTCAATTTCAGTTTCAATTCCAATTTATCCTAATCAATTTACATGTTTAATCCTTAAGTTAGTTTTGGTAAAGGAATGATTTAATTCATTATATCTCATTTTAACTTAATAATTCGTTTCTTTTTTCACATCATCATTTCTACAGATGAAATAATATTTTTCTTCCTACAGCAATTTTTTTTTTTTTTTTTAACACCAACTCTTAAAACATTTTGAATAAGGAAATATTTTTATTACCGTTGTTGATTGTATCCCAATTTTCAAAACACTTCCAATAGACATTTTACGATCATGTAATCGTCTTCTAATATCCGATAGTTCTTTTCCCAACAGCGACATTATCAAAAAACTTAACAGCTAACGTAAATTGAAGTATTTTTAGAAATTAATTGAAACAAATTAAATTTAGTTGGAAATAAAAAATGGAATAATTGGAAAAAAATGATAATTAATTGAAATGAAGAACTGAAATAAATTTCGAAATTGAAATATTTAAAAATAAGTATTAGGCATTTGTTTTTATTTTCTTTTCGCTCATTTTTATTGTCTTTTAAATGTCATCCCATAAGACACAAATCATATTAAATTTGGAAAAGTTAATTATTCTCAAAGTTTGAAGTATTAAAAATTTGCTGAAATTAATAAAACATTTGTGTGAAATTCTCAATATTACTGAACATTCAACTACAGCAATGACAAACTTTTCTTCCTTCTGATTCACAATTTCTCTCTCTCTCCCTTGCTCTCTTCTATTGCCTTTTCTTTATTTTCAATTTAATTCTTTTTGAAAAATTTATTTTGAAAATAAAAATCTGTTAATGTTATGATATTTTCTTTCTCTTTCTGATTCATTTTTCTTTTCTTCACTACCTCTCCTTCTCTCCTTTATTCCGATTTTTCCCCCCATTCAGCATTTTATACTTTCTCTTTACACTAGTTATTATGAATGAAGCATAAATCTTCGTCAGATTGCATTAACAGAACATTCTTAGTTTAAAATTTTTATTTTTAGATTGGAATTTTGATGAAATTTCTACCTTAAAATTTGAATTATAATTTCATTTCTGATATTTCTATAAAAAATTGATGAAAATTTCAGTGTTATGTGTTGACTTGTTAATAATAATACTACTTAATAATCATAATGTATCATTTCATTGATTGCATTGACACGGTGTATAATATTAGCTTATCAGGGACAAAATTTACCCTTATAATGAATTTGTTAGTATATTTAGTATATTGTTCGAAATTAAAAAAAAAAAAAAACGAATTTTGTAATTATATCTAATCTGTATTTTATATGTCATTACTATTAAATTTGAAATATTTATGCCCAAACATTCAAGATTTCTCTCTAAATTTAAGATTTGCTACATTATAAATAATTTATTAGTAATATGCTTATTTTAAGAAGGACAAAATTTTTTTCCATTAAGTAATTAAGGTGCGAATATGAATATACATTAATTGCAATTTCCTTTCTTCTCTCCTTCTCTCTCTCTCTCTCTCTTTCACTCTCCCTCTTCCTCACTTATTATTTATATTTTTGTTTTTCACTTTCTCAAATAGATAAATATTATTAAAGTAATGAATTTTAGTACATATATAATATCAATGTCATCATACAAAATGTGTTAATGTTAGCAGAAAAAAAGAAAATGAAGGTTTTGAAAAAAAAGAGGAAAGTATTGATTAATTGTAAAAGAGAGAATTCTAGAAAGGAATAGAAAAGGAAAGAAAAGAAATTAGAATAAATAAATGCTTCATTCGTGTAATGAAAGTACTAAGAGTAGTATATTTGAACACTACTAATTGTTATAGTTATTACTTTTTAATTGAAGTGTCAAAATTATAAATATAAAAATCGAAATTTTTAAATCAAAAATACAAGAAACTAAAAATGATATATAATTGTATACTTGTAGGACGATGTTTTACCAGCAGCTAATAATTGACATACATGTTTCGACTGTTGCATCTTTTTTAATACATATACTTCCATTTTTAAAATTTCATCATCTTTTGATTTCATTAATGGTTCCACTTTCATGGCTGCTCTCTTTAAGTTAATTAATAAAAAGTAACGGTTGATTCAAGTTGTTACGTGTGTTTCCAAGTTTATTAGATGATTAGTTAATTTATTAGATTAAGATTCGTTTTAATTTATGGATGACCTGGTTACTTCAATTCATATACGTTATTTATTACGTGAATGTAAGTGGTTGACATTGATTACATTTTGAAAGATAAAAGGACTATTTTATTTTCTTTCTTAAATCATATCTATTTTTACTTCTCAATTATTCAATTATTTAATATTAATTGATCATATTTAATAGAAAGTATTTTTTATAATTGATAGGTGGTACCTTGGTATCTTTAATATTTAATACCAAATATACCATGCCACATGAACCTTCGCCAAGTTTTTTCTTCACCAAAAATTGATCTTTTATTTTGTCACCTATAGAGATTTTCGGTGGACCCAATGGTGAACACATTATCTGGAATATTCGTCTTTCTTTCTTGTAAAAGCAGAATAATGTTCACAAATAATTGTTCATATTTGATAACTTCTCATTTTCGACAAGTAATTGATTCCAAAGCAATCATCCGAAAATTATTTAGTCTGTAGTATTCAATAAAATATGATTTGGATAAAAGTAAAATAAATTTTAGCAATTTTTATGAAATCAAATTTGATTGTTACAGCAAATGTTATATGCATTAAATTATTATTACAATTCCAATCAGTTATTTTAATTTAAGGATGAAATAAAGTCATTCCATATATGTAAACTATTTCAATATTGGTTAACTGTGGCCTCAATTAGATTAATTCAGACTACAACTGCACCTACTAAGCCATTTTAAGTTAATTATGGATTTTTGTCGGTGAATATCATTTCTTTTCCTCGTACTGTTATTTACTAGAAAAACGGGAAGAGAGAGGGAGAGGGAACGAAGAAGAGAGAAAAAGAGAGAAACAAAATAATGTGTTAAGGACAGCGGAATCAGTCTAGGAATTCTTGAAAATTTCAAATATATAATAATGATTGGTTTATTGTGTATGCTTCTTTGAGCAGTTTGCACTTCTTAAATCGAAAAATCACAAACTGATCAAATTTAAATGCAAATTCAAAATTTAAGCATCTAAATTTGAATTGTAAATTTTACAAAGAACAAAGAATAATTTTTTCATATACAAATGGAATTATGTTTCTATTTCCACAGCATAAAGAAAAAGGAGCAAATCTGAGTAAATATAAGAAACTGATTAAACAAATTTTATTCCGATCATTACATAGAAAATATTTATCGCCAATTTAATTCAGAAATAAAATTTTAAGTTGCAGTAGAAGACTTAATAGATTTTTTTTTTTTAAAAATAGATTTTATTCGAAATCAATTAATGGACTGTTTTAAAAAAAATCCAATTTAATTTGCTTGTTTAAACAAAGCAGTTTTAATAGCAAAAACGTTTATCCATTTCTCTGACATTTTGAAAACATAAAATGTAATAATTTAATGAAGGGAAGAAATAATAATACATCGAAGTAAGCTTTCTGTTATGACTAATAGAAAAGCAAATGACCATTAGGTCATACTTCATGCTTTTATAGCAATTACAAATATGTCTTATGTTGCAAATTTTTGCATAACACGCAATTTGCATCACATGCAAAAATTTATTATTATTATTATTATTATCAATATTATTACTAATTATTGTTAATAATTATTAGTTATTATTCATTATTATTACAGCTAGTCATACTGTAGAAATATCAAGTATCGTTACTATAAAAATGTTTGTTTTTTTTAATTTATAGCAATGCATATGCAATTATGGTTTTAGCTGGTTTTATGTTAAAGTTGGGAGCTGGTCTCAGCAAGTTTTTAAATTTTTTTTTTAATCGTCTCAGTAAGTCCTTAATTTTTTTGGTTTTGAATTATTAATTTTCTCTTCTTTAATAGGCATTTTCTTTTTTTGTTCTTTTATTTGTATATTTTAGAATGATTTTTAAATCATCCGTTTGTCTTAAAAGCTTTACTATCTGAAATTAATATATTATAGTATGGTAAATCTATAGCTTTAGCCATAATATTGTCTCATGGCCATACTTCTGCTTTAATATTTTATTTTATTGGTAATTTTAGCATATTGCGAGATGTTTGATTTAATATTTGTGCGGGTGTTTTAATGTTAGTATATTGTTTCGTTTGATTTTTGTTTGACTTTTTGGAAAGGGATGGATTTTATATATAGCATTATTACTGTGAAATTTTGTTGAGATTTTTTAAATTTGTTCGTTTTATGAATTTAAAGTAACAGTAAGATTACCGCTTCTTGCTACAGTAGGGAGAAATTTTTTGTTGGGATCCAGGGAGAAAGGAATAAATGATACGAACCGAAATCAGAAGGATGAAGCGGAAATAGGTGAATTTTAGAATTGTAATGATTCAAATTCTAAAGCGAACTTTTCAATCTGAACTATCAAAAATTTACATTTTGCAAGAAATACGTTCATATGGTATCCTTTTCAAAGAGAATTCAATAAGTTTGACGTCAAAAAAACTATCAAATTTTGTGATATCATAAAACCAGAATCTAATTTTTTTTTAAACCAGAATTTTGCTTTCTCTAGCAATTATAAGCGTGAAAATGTGAATTATATAGTAAATAAGATTATGATAAGACTATTCCAGCGAATTATTAACGTAATTGCTTACATGTTCATTAATCTTGATTAAATTTCAATAATAAATCTTTATTAACGACAGATTCCGACTAACAATAAGTGTTATGCCAATAAGATTAACAATAAGTGCAATAAATCCGGAAGAAAATAAATCTTAATTAATGATAAATCTTAGTTGTCATCATACAAGGATGGAAATTTCTATGAATTGATTACTTTTACATCAGGGAAATTTCACTTTTTTTTAATCCTTAATTTACACTTAAAATAGGCGTAAGGAAATTTAAGTTTAAAACAGAAAATGGATAAAATAATTTTGCTACATTTGTAGTAATTGGAAGCCATGAATTTATCAAATAAATTATTTCAAGGACCACTTATGATTTTATCATTTTCCATACTTAACTATTCTTTAAAATACTTTCATCATTTCAATTTTTATTCGCTTTCTGCTAAAATGTTAACAAAATCCTTACATTTTTTTTTTCATTTTTTGAAAAGTTCATTACACTGAAGATAAGTGAGTACGGATGGGTTGATGGAATGGCTCAAAATGTAAAAGTGAAGTGGAGTGGAATGGCGTAAAGTACGAGTGACTATATAGTATCAGGTTTAGTTTAGTTGTCTGCTTAAGAGTTGACAAAGTGATTGACAAAGAAAAAACATGCAAGTGGCAAAATCCTGTGGAAAAAAGAGGAAAAGAAGAAAGAACTAATACGACATCTGTTACCTTTCATATGACATTGGATATTTTTCTTCTTTATCTTTCTTCTATTCCTTTTCTTCCCAAATGTTCATATTGTCTTCCTGCTACTTTTTATTGTATGTTGACTAACTTTTATGTATCATTTCATTGACTTTCCACCACATTTCCCTTTTTTTTTTTTCTTTCGTTCTTTTTTTGTTTTTCGTATTATTATTGGTAGAAGAATGAAATAGGAAGATGAATGATATGGTGATAGGATAAAATGAAAGGACAGTTAACGTAAATGAATAAGCTTCTATTTGAATTATTTTCCTGAATTACTATAAGAACTCAAACAATGGGAAAAACATGAATTAATGATGTAGAATGATCCGCTTTTAGTCTTAATGAGATATCGCATGAGGGAAAGAGAATTAGATGTGTTCGGACGATACTTAATACATATATCTTATAAAGGCTCTTTTACTCAGAAATGTTACAATGAAGTGGGAAATATGAACCGATCGTTGAAATTGAAAACTGAAGATGAAATTAATTCTTTGCCAAGTTATATTTGTCTTTCTCCCTCTCTCTCTTCGACTGATTGCAGTTCGAGATTAATTGGGAAATTTTACTAACCTAGAAGTCATTAAACCTTACTTAAAAATATGAAAATATCAATGAGTAGAAGCTATTCCCTTTAGTGATAAAGAGACATGAATGTGACAATCATATCGGACATATATTTTACTTTGATCACCTCACTTTCCCTTTCTCATCTCCAATCTGCCACATACAGAATAATGCTTATGCAAGTGTATCTTTTGTTACGATGAATTATATCCACTCAGATGAGTGGAAAGGATAACAAGAAAATGATCGAGAAAGGAAGACAGAGGGCGAGAGAGAGAGGAAGAGAGATGAGTCATGAAACTAAAAGATGGTTGAGATCCAAATGGAATGGTAGTTGAGACACTGCTCTTTTTCGAGGGACATAGAAACAGAGAGCAAGCGTATGCTGTCCTCGATGAGACAAGACGACTAGGCGCAATCGTGCTCATCCTTTTCACCTCCCCTTGCTACTAACTACTGTTCGTGTGCGCCATTGACTGGCCTCCTTCGGCTATTGATTCGGCTGGCCACTTTCATCATTTGTATATATGTATCAATCTCTTTGTCTAATTCTGAATCCTTCTCTGTCTATTTTATCCCTCTCCTTAAGTTCATGGATAGAAAAGATAAAACTGAATGACTTATTACATGTTCACGGTAACCGATACCTTTTGTTATGTTGTAGGAGGTAGTAGGTAGTTGTTTGTAGTTTTGTGTTATATCACGTTGACCACCATTATGGACCACTGACTTTTACATAGGATTTGTCATACGAAGAGTACGTCCGTCACTAGGTTTAGTTAACTTTCAACATTATTCAAAGATATGCATTGAGGAAATCTTTACATTATGATTCGTTTTTCACTAAAATTTTTTTTTTAAATCTATGTAGATTTTTTTGTATCGTACGTGAGTTAAAATTGAAAAGATATTTTTTATAATTTGTAATGAATTAATATGTATTTTCGAGGATATATGTAAATATAGCTCTACGTTTTTTAAATAAATGAACTAGTTAAATAACCAAGTAGTCTTTACATGTGGAATGTGTAAATAATAAATCATTTAATATAGCTAAATAATTCTTCATGTAATTTAGCTGGTAATAATTGATAATAAGGAATGTTTAAGGAATGGTGGGCTAGTTGAAAACAGGTTATAGTAATAATCGATTGATAATCAGGTTGTTTCTTTTTTCCTTACTTCTAACGAATGCATATGCATGTATAGAAAATTTCACGTGTGTCCATATGGTGAGGGAATTTTCACTTTCAGTTATAGTTCCTAGCATGTTTATTCAAATGTTTCTGAACTTTAATCGGAACAATGCTACAATTCTTATATTTTCATTCGGAAAAAGTTTGTAGTGCTTAAAGGTGCTTCAAGTCTTTCCAAATTTATGTAATATATTGGCATAATTGATCTTTTCACTATAAATGACAGGCTAATTATTAATCTTATAGTAGACATGTGTTACGATTTAAAACTCTACTTTTGATTA